CAAAGACCTGACTTCGCCAACGAACTACTGTCCCATATCTCCCCAACACTCCTCCTCAAAATCACTAATGACCTACTAACCGCCAAAGGCGACTACTCTGTCCTCCTTCTCCTGGACCTCTCCGCTGCCTTCAACACAGTTGACCACCCCCTCCTCCTTAATAAACTACTCTCCCTTGGCATCAGAGACACTGCTCTCTCCTGGTTCTCCTCCTATCTATCCCAACGCTCCTTCAGCGTTTCTTACAACGGTGCCACCTCCCCTCCCCTCTCTGTTGGGGTCCCCCAAGGCTCTGTCCTCGGACCCCTTCTCTTCTCCATCTACACCTCCTCCCTTGGAAAACTCATACACTCCCACGGCTTCAACTATCACCTCTACACTGATGACACTCAAATTTACCTCTCCACCCCTCACCTCACCCCCACAGTCTCCGCCCGCATCACTCACCTCCTAAACAATATCTCAGACTGGATGTCGCTCCATTTCCTCAAGCTTAACCTCTCCAAAACCGAGCTCCTCGTCTTTCCCCCTGCCCACGCACCCCCCCCATCCTATCCATCACTACCAACAACACCACCATCAATCCCGCCCAGCAAGCCAAAGTCCTTGGCGTCACTTTGGACTCAAACCTTTCCTTCCAACCTCATGTCAAATCACTTACAATCACATGCGGGCTCCACCTCTGCAACATCGCCAAGATACGCTCCTTCCTTACCCTAGACACCACTAAGCTACTCGTGCACTCCCTGATTATCTCATGCCTTGACTACTGCAACTCCCTATTCACCGGCCTGCCCCAGCGCAGGTTCTGCCCGCTTCAGACCATCCTGAACTCAGTGGCTAGACTCATCCACCTCACCAACCGCTCCACCTCTGCCACCCCCCTCTGCCTATCCCTCCACTGGCTCCCGGTTGCCCAATGCATCAAATTCAAACTGCTAACTCTGACCTACAAAGCCATTCACAACACTACCCCTAACTACCTCACCAACCTGATTCCCAAGTACCACCCTACCCGTACCCTTCGCTCCTCACAGGACCTCCTTCTGTCTTGCTCCCTGGTCTCCTCCTCCCACGCACGACTGCAAGACTTCTCCAGGTCCTCCCCCATCCTCTGGAACTCACTACCCCAATCCATCAGATTGTCGCCTTCCCTCCTCACCTTCAGGCACTCCCTGAAAACCCACCTCTTCAGGGAAGCCTACCCCACCCTTACCTAACAGCCGTCCTCCTTCATTCCTCCTAGCACTCCATCCCCCACAGCCACTTCCTCCTGTACCACTACCCCCTCCCTCCTAGATTGTAAGCTTGAAAGAGTAGGGCCCTCTAACCCCTCGTGTGCTGTTTGTTGTTACTGTACTGTTTCATGTATTGTCCCCCCCTCTATTGTACAGCGCTGAGCAAACCCTTTGGCGCTATATAAACTCGATGTAATAATAATAATAATAATATCTCTCCTCAACGTTGACTTAAAGATTTTTGCCAAAATACTGGCCAATCGTTTGCTTCGCATTATAGACCCCATTATCTCTACTGATCAGGTGGGGTTCGTACCCGGTAGAGAGGCTAGAGACAACACGATCATGGGCAATAAATATACATCATTGGTTGACACGGAAGAAACAATCTGGCTTCTTTCTCTCTCTAGACACTGAGAAGGCCTTAGACAGATTAGCCTGGGATTACATGGAGGCTGTGTTGACTGGCCTTGGGCTTCCTCCACGCCTTTTGACCTTTATTATGTCCTTATATACAACACCTACGGCTATAGTAAGAGTCAATGGCCTCCTTTCAGACACCTTTTCAATAAGCAATGGGACCAGACAAGGTTGTCCATTATCCCCCCTCCTATTCATTCTCACATTGGAACCTTTTTTGAACTGCATTAGACAGAATGATAACATCAAAGGAATTTTAATCAGTGGCAAAAGCCACAAAGTAGCGGCTTTTGCTGACGATATCTTACTTTTCCTGACAAACCCACATATTGCGCTGCCTAACTTACTACACAATTTCCAATTATTTCAGTACTTGGCCAATCTTAAAATCAACTTCAATAAATCCCAAGCCCTCAATGTCTCCTTAACCCAAGATACGGTCAGACAGGAGAAAACGAACTTTCCTTTTGCATGGCAGTCTGAGGCCATCACTTACTTAGGCATTCAATTACCAGCTCACCTTTCGGAACTCTATGCAAAAAACTTTTTACCCATCCTACGTAGTATCACAAAAGATCTGCAGAAATGGGACAAACCATTTTTCTCTTGGTTTGGCAGAGCAGCGATCCTCAAGATGAAAGTGCTTTCTAGACTACTGTACCTGATGCAAACGATTCCCATCAAACTACCTAATTCTTTAAGTCATATAAAACATTTTGTACCTCGTTTTTATGGAGTAACAAACACCCCAGAATCGGTTTTGAACAACTTACCATGCCTAAGGCGAGCGGAGGTATTGGACTGCCTGATATCACTCGATACTATAGAGCCTGTCACATGGCACAAATAATAGATTGGTCTATGAACCGCAACCGTAAGGCTTGGGTTACTTTGGAAGCTGCATTTTCGAGAACCCCACTCTCCACTTCCCCTTGGCTGAAAAACTTTGTACATAGCTCCACACATTTTAAAAATTATACTAGGCCACTCACCCCATTTGAAAAACTTTGCTCCACAGACTCTCCCCAGAGACATGTTATATCTAAGCTCTACACATGCCTCGAAAACACCATCGACCTTCCGTCCAGGAAAGCTTGAAAGGCCTGGTGTTCTGACTTGCAACTCCAACTGTCGCCAGAAGACTGGGATCACACTTACGAACATATACACAAAGGGTCCATATGTGTCTCTACACAAGAAAAAATTTTAAACTTTACTGTAGATGGTACAGAGTTCCATCCCTGCTTCACAAATTTGACCCTAACATCTCAGATTTGTGTTGGAGATGTCACCAAGCGACGGGTACACTCTTGCATATCTGGTGGTACTGCCCATTGCTACAGCCTTTCTGGGAGAAAATCCAACCCATAATCATGCAAGTAACCACATACTCATTAGACCTCTCCCCCGCACAATTCTTGCTCCACCATTCCACGCTTCCATTTAGGACGTACCGTAAATCACTTGCCATGCACATGGTCAATGCGGCAAAACAGTGTATCCCAGTCCACTGGCGCTCAACACATGTTCCCACTACTCGAGAATGGTTGGCTAGGATCAACAAAATAGAGGAAATGGAGGAACTGATCTCTGTATCAAAAGAACATCCCGAAAGATTCAGAAAGACTTGGGCTTGTTGGAGCCATTTCAAAACCACCACTACCTATCGCTTCTTAGTTCATGAACAGCCTATACCCCCCGACTGAATGACTAGACACTATGCTATATTAGGGAACGCCCTGTCCTTGAAAGACGCATTTGGTGTATATTTGGATGGGCTGAGACTCGGTATCGTGGCCTTCGTCTCGGATTCTTGATTCACGCGCTGCCGTTTTGACCGATCCTGCATGTATTGCATCCCACCATATATGACTATCGTTGTGGCCCATACAAAATTATATGAATTTTTCTATCCATAACTACCCACTTTAACATTCCCTTTCCTCCCTACCCATTCCCCCTATCCCCCCCCCTTTTTTTTTTATTCTCCCCCCCCCACTACCTCACGTAACATTCCCATCTTTTTCGCTAGCTATTCTCTGTTCTGACTTTTCTTTATCTGGAGCCTCCCTACTCCCAACAAATATGTTATTTTAACTCTTATACAAATGTTCCTGATTTCACAGGGCTCAACCGCTCCCGAAATGGACTGACAAATTTTGTCATATAAGTCATCATGTGCTAGCAATACCCAACACGTCACATTCAGCCGACATAAGGGCTCACCAGTACATAAGACAGTAATCCTTATACCCATTTTGATTTATCTATTTATTTAGTGTACTTTTGTTTAAACCCATGACCTGTCTGCGTAACGGGATGCTACATGATGTGTCTATGTTCGGACTGTGATCCGTATTTGTATGTATACTGCTATACTTTATTTTCAAATAAAAATATTTTGAAAAAAAAAAAAATAACTGATATTTCAGATTCATTTGGTATGGAATGGAGCAATAGAGATGAAACTGACTGGTCTAAAACCATCGAGATCAGTGCTGGTGTGGTCCATTTCCTGGTTCTGTAGCTGTGTCTGGAGGTCTGGGAGGCTCATAGGACCATAGAAGAGTGATGGTAGAAAAAGACCAGGTGGTCCATTGAGTCTGCCCTTTTTTCTTATTTTTTTTATCTATACAGGTTTTGTATTTTTTGTTGTTATTTTATTTTATTTTGTTTTATTTTTTTTACAGTACAAATTTATGTTCTTCCCAAGCATGTCTGAAGCCACTTACCTTTGACTGACTCACTACCTCTGCTGGAAGTAGAATACCTAATTATATTGGAAGAATGTAAAAACATAGATTTTTGAATGCACATGATTGGTTGTCTGAAATGACTTCAACTTTACCTTATTTAATATAGTCAAGCAACATCATTTTTGCTATGTGGCCATTCTATATTCTATTAGGAAATTAACTTATCTCAGTCTAAAAGTTTCATCTTTGTTGCTGGATTGGACTAATTTTGGGTGGTTATTTCATAGTTCCCCAACTGTGGAATACCTACATGCATTTTATAAGCTTGTTTTAACAATAAACTATCAGTAAATACAAATACCAGGTTGATTTATGTAAAATATTTTAATAATATTCACACTTATATGTCATATGTAAATATTTTACATATATATATCAAGTGAAGGTGGCACATTCAGGAGCATTCATTTCCAATGTCTACCTGACGTCTCATCCAGTAACTCAGCAGCACCCAAGTTTAAGTCTCAGGAATAGTCTTGAAACCGCTCACAGCTCTCTGTAAGGCCCTTGAGATATCTTTATTCCGCAAACTATAAACTATTGGGTTCAGCATGGGCACCAAAGTTACAAACATAACTGAAAAAACCTTGTCTTGCTGCAGTGAATATTGCATGTACACGCTCAGAGCTGAGCCATAGTATACTACAACAATAATGATATGGGAGGTACAGCTTGAGAATGTTTTTTTCCTTCCAACTGAAGATTTAATTTTCAGGATGGTGGAAATAATGCAGGCATAGGAAGTCAAAATCAAAAGCATTGGAACAGCTCCAATGAACATACCATCTACGAGAATAAATTTTCTCAGGAAATTTTTGTCACTGGAAGAGGCAGTGATCAATGCTTTAAGATCACAGAAGAAATTGTCAATTTCTTTGATCCCAATGAATGTTAACTCATGTATAAAACAGGTAAGAATGAGTGCATTGACCATGGCCATAAACCAGGCAGGAAATGCTAGGAGGACACACACCCTTCTGTTCATAATAAGTGAATAATGGAGAGGGAAACATATGGCTACATAACGATCAATAGCCATTGTGACCAATAGGAAGGATTCTGTGTCAGCAAAGAACAAAAAATAGAACAGTTGGGTGATGCAGTTATTGTAAGACACATAATGGTCCCCTGTGTTAGTGATGTACAACAGTTTAGGAAGAGTTGTAGAGACATAAAAATTGTCCAAGACTGATAGATTAGATAGGAAGAAGTACATGGACGTGTGCAGTTGTGGCACCAAACAAACTAAAGTAAGTATTAAAATGTTTCCAATTAAAATAACAAAATAAACCAAAAAAATCACTGCTAACAACAGAAATCGTCCATTTTCAGAAGTTGAGAAAGCCAGGATGTGGAAACCAATCTTTGAGGTGCTATTTGTGGACTGCCCATCCATTCTGCGTATTGAAAGAGCGTTCTTTGGTTAGGTAACCAATACATGGAAAAGTATAATGTATATATCAGTGGAAATCCCTCAGCAGTCTATGATCTTTTTGAAAAGTAAATGTTAGCAACAAGTGGGAAGTTAACCACACAAAGCCACTCTTTGCAAACCTAATAATAAATATATAAAGAGAAAAGTTCCTTATGTGTGGCTGCTATTTGCTTTTGGGTGTCCCATTTCATGTGCAAATTGTGCAAAATGTACTAAAGATGTTTGGCTTTATTGCAGGAAATGAGACCTTATTCTGCTTTTGTGGTTTGCAGACAATAACCATACAGTTTTATCTGTCTCCAATCCTCTTCCTTTCCACTAGGCCCTCTGCTGCTGTGAAGGTGTTTGCAATGTTGGGTGCGGGCACTTCTACAGGTAAGAATGTTTTATGTGAAGATCCTAAACTCCTTTAGTAATCAGCCTGTAAAGTGTTAGATTGTTGTCAACGTGGCAATTGTGCCCACTGAAAGATTTCTATTCTAGTTACATTAGTAAAATTGGAGTTTCCCATCATTTTCTGCCCTGATGACAACAGTCCCAGGACAAAGAGGTAGTGTGACCCTCTCCAATAGGGACACAGATTGAAATACAGACACAATGTTCAAATCTTTCTCTACTCTACCCATATTTAAAACATTTGGCATTAGATACAATAGAACATTTACTATTCTAAGTGAACATTCTCCACTTCTGTAGTAAATCAGCTCTATTGCTCACTTCTTAGAAGAGCTTAAAATAAAATCTGTAAAATCTGTGAAAATCCAATACTACATGCACTTCATAAATAAGTACACTTAAAAAATCATTAAAGTAAATATATAGCCATTTCTGTATGTTTTTGATAAAATAAGGAAAAGGTAAAACCCCTGTCAGGCAATTTTTACTGTCCATGTCCTTATGGAAAGATTTCCCTTCACTTCCTGTCTTAGATATGCAACAGGAAAGTATAGGAAAGCTCCCCAAAATGAAGAGATTTCCCAATATTTGTCCCCATTGGAAGATTTTCTGTCACCTCTTATTCTCATGACAACTCTAAAATATAAGATTTCTGCATACTTTCTGTCTCTGTGACAGTAGTCACCAAGAAAAATTAAGGGATGAATCTCCCCAGCAGGTGACTTAACATAGGCTTTAATTGCTCTGAAACTGAATTATGGCACCGCAAAACATTCTTTATAATGAAATATAAAATGTCATTACTTTACTTCTGCAAGTTGCTCTACTTTCCTGCTTTATCATCCCTTAAGAATATTTTTTTAAATATGAATTTGATATATTTCACATACAGTAATGTTGGAATTGCTGTAAAGCAGAGCTCTAAGTATCACTGACCCAAATCTGAAATGTTGATCTAGAGGTGTCTGAACCATGTGCTCATTCTCTAACTGTAGCAGATATCTATGAATGCTTCCATTCCCTGTTCTAATGTGTATGTGTGTAACTTGGGTGGAATGAAGGTTTTTACCTCGATTAATAGATGTGTGGACTAGGAGCAGAAAACAGTCTGTAAATGGAAACTCACTTACTGTTATGGTGAACATTGGTCTGCTGACAAAAATGCCTTCTGGTAGTCCCTGCTGTAGCAAGGCTCTAATTCTCATTTAGTCTAGGAGATAAAAAAAAAGAGGAATACTTAAGCTGGACATACACTGATCAAAATTTGGCCAGTCCAGCAGGGACCAGCTGAATTTCGATCAGTGTATGGCCTCCCCTGCTCAACAGCCATTGAACCAGTCCTTACGCTGCAGTCACAGACCAGTGTATATGTGCTGCTGTCAGAATGTCCCAGAGGGGGAGAATCCTCCATCCACCTAGTTTGTGTGGATGGAGGAATGAAGGCAAACAAATCCAACCATGTATGCCTGGCTTTACTTCATTCCTAAATTTACCATCATCCTCATATACAATGCAGAACCATGGGACTTGGAAGCCAATTCAATGCTGCTTGCAGGAGACTGGGAAACATGTTGGGCGAGATTTACTAAAACTGGTGCACTCGGAATCATGATTGCTTTCTATGCAGAGCTGCACCAGATTTTGCACGCTACAGTTTTAGTAAATAACCCCCATTACAGTATAAAAGAAGAAAGATGCTTCATGAAGACTTTAGGATGCCACTTACTAAGGCGTTCAATGTTTCTTTACATCCTTTACAGTATTTAATCTTTTTTTTTTTTTTTTTTTTTTTTAGTTATTTGCTGTTGGCCTAAGATGCAGGTCTTGTACATGTTATGTAATGCTCACTATTGACCTTTAATCTGTATGCAACCTAATAATATTGGTCAAAAGCTTCTGTGGTTCTTAAATGTTTTTACGTGTTAAAGCTTGGGATATGTGCTGTATATACTATAATAGATAGATAGATAGATAGATAGATAGATAGATAGATAGATAGATAGATAGATAGATAGATAGATAGATAGATAGTACCTGAAATAATAATATATTGTGGTAGTACAGCTTTTTTATTTTTAGATTTTAATTGTAGTATTTACAACCTTTCATTACTAGGGCTATTGCTAACCTCTTCTAAAATGTGAGTTGCCTTGTTTTTCCACTGAGCCACAGCTCTTATAATTCCATTTGCCTGATTTCACTTATTACACACTATTGAACACTCAGGTGTTTCTGGATTAGAAGGTACTGGTATCAGAAAAACCTATAAAGATAACATTTTTAGAAAGAGGTTAGAAATGGCAGCCACCATATTTGTTCATGGCAGGTTTTCTTCAAACAATGCCTATAGTATCTTACAACCCTTGAAGTCAGATTTACTAAATTGTAAATTGAAAAGAAAGTTTACTTAAAACATCCAAAAAGTATGGAAATAGTGACAATTAAGAACTTCCTCTGCATACGATTAGATGTTTTAAAGGGAACACAGGGTAACTTTATCTCACTAAAAGCCTCCAAGTACATGACAGCTTTGAAAAAATTAAATATACACATTATTGCATTTACCTGCAATTCCTGTTTAAATTCAGAGAATGTATTATAAAATCTTTTTTTTATGAAATTCAAGCCTGATCAGTTTTGAAATTGGTGCAGCTTTCAGAGAAACATCATGAAAGTCTAATATAAGATATACAGTATATGTGGGGATTTTATACCTGGCAGCACACCTATTTTATATCTTAGTTCTATGCCATTGAATGGTCTGCTTTTAACATATCTTGTACCATTTGGGAGCACATCTCTTATGATTTCATACAATAACATTTTACCATTTGGGAATTGTTCAGAAAATAACTAGTTCCAACTGAAGTAAGAGCAAAAAAAAAACGTTTATATACAACCTTTAGCGTTACCTATTAAACCCAAATAAATCCAAAACTTTTTTTTAGATAGAATGATAAAGGGGGTTATAATTTATGAGAGATTTATTGCTGTCTGTCTCTCTGTTTTGGAGAGTTCTTCTTTATTTTCCGTTTATTTAATGAGTTTCAGAAAGTACAGGAAATGAAGGAACATTTCTTCTTACTTACCTGTCTATAAATGTGTGTCAAGAAAAGGATGTGAGGGGAAATCCCTGGATAGGGTTCAATGAAGACACTTTTATGGAACATCAGCATGTCAGCACACCTGGGTGTGGTTCCACCCAGAAGACCCTAGGAGAGACCCCTAAGCTGCCCTATAACAATAAACTCACTCAGGCAACAGATGTTGCTATTTTTCTGGCCATCCAAACTTTATATGGCCCATTTGGATATATTACTTTGCTGTACCTTTTTCATTGGTTCTTATACTTCTGTTTCCACCTGGATTTTCATCTCTTCCAATGTGATGGCCTACTTTCATTCCAATATAGATATTAAAGACTTGGGGAACCAAAGTGAAGGGGATACTACTGGTTGACAATAGAGGGCATAGCATCAGTTGAACCTATTTCTCTTACCTTTGGTTTTCCTTGGTTCTCTGTTTGTGCCTGACGTCACTTCTGGTCTGACCATCACTTGTACACTTAGCTAAACTTTTTGTTTCTTGTACTACCCTCAGGTATTCTCTTTTTTTGGCTACTAGATTTTGCTGCTTCAGATCTACTTCACACCAGTCATGCAAGGGGAAAGGATTGTGATTATTATTACTATATTATTACTATATTTTATATAGTGCCATCAATTTGCACAGCACTTTACATACATTTTGTACATTCACACCAGACCCTGCACTCAAGGAGCTTACAAACTAAGGTCTTTAACTCACAGTCATACGTACACATACTAGGGCCATTTGAGAAAGGAGCCAATTAACAATTTACAAGCATGCCTTTGGAGTGTTGGAGGAAAGTGGGGTATCTGGAGGAACCCCACGTAGGCACAGGGAGAACAAAGAAGCAATGACAGAGAACATGTCACAATCTGTGGAAGTATCTCCTTTGGGTCTCCTAAACATTATGGGGTTGATTTACTAAAGGCAAATAGACTGTGCACGTTGAAAAGTGCAGCTGCATTCTGCATGGGCAGTTGCTCCAGAGTTTAGTAAAGTTCCCTGTGCCAACAATACCCAATCACATGCAAGGAAGATAGAAAAACAGTAGTTTTGCTTGTGCATAATTGGATGATGGAAGTCAGCAGAGCTTCTGTTCATTTACTAAGCTCTGGAGCAACTGAACTTGCAGAGTGCAATTGCACTTTGCAAAGTGCACAGTCTAATTGCCTTTAATAAATCAACCCCGTTGAGTTATCTAGGGCCTTGCAAAGAGAGTCCTTCTTACTGTCCACTTCAGCTCAGAAGAACCGTTCTACAATCCACTATTCCCTATTTGATAGAGACAGCTCAGAGGAGGAGGAAGGAGAGATTATTGAATCCCATTGTTCATTTGTGCATAATGTATCTGACTGTACATTAGTCTTACTTTTTCATGGTGTGATAGCCAGAGGGGTCAAATTGTGGTCAGAGCTCAGAGATTCTGCAGACCAGCCCCTCTGGAATTTCCTCCTGCTCTCAGGGTTTTGGAGAAA